TTGTTGCATGATATAATGAGAACAATTTTACCTATGTGAACTATATTGCTTCACAATTCAGTGTATTATTAGGGGCCAAGCACCACAAGGTTCGAGGCACCTAGTATTCTTATTTTTCTTCACTCTTCAGTCTATGACAGCCAATAGAACCGCTAGCGGGAAAGTTATGAAATTTTGCACACATACTGAAGACAGTCTCAACATTAATCACAACAAATTGATGGAGTCTCTATCTCAAATCCTCTAGCACCACCAACTGCTCAAAGTTGAACTTTTGTACTGTAAGAGCTATAAACTAAATTCCTTTTATTCCTTTGCTCATGACGATTCGATTGATGACATTGTTTTCCATTTCAAATCTTATGAAAGACATACTTTTGCAACCTCTTCCTAGGAAGTTTGTTCAATTATTCCCAAAATTGACTCAGATCATCTTCTGGCTAAAAGTTATTAAAAATAAAGTGCATCAATAAATTTGACAAAGAGCACGTCATATCTCTTTAACCTGAGGTGTTATCTCTGCAACGATTTGGCGTATTACAGTTTTTCTGAATTCACACTGTGATTCACTTGTGTTGCAAAACTCTTAACACAGGCAGGCAAAAGTTAAACACAACTAAAACACAGTTGTCATCGTTTACACACAACGGCTCAAAATTGTTCACACATTTCTATTGACGTGAACAAACCAACTACAAAATAAGCCAGCTCAGAGTGCACAGGTGCACTGAATATTGATATTACGAACAATAGATGGAATCAATCTGAGGAGAGGAAGAGTAATTGTAAGAGTTAGTGGACGAGGAGGAAGAGGATGAGGACGAGAAAGAGAGAGATGTGGAGAGTGTTGTCAAGGCTGGATCTGGAGATAGAAATCTTTTGTAACATTATAAATGTCTTTAGTGTCACTTTTGGGCCATTTTTTGCATCCTTGTTGAATAAAAGTATTACGTTTATTCAAAACGAAATCCCCAAAATAGTGTATTTATAAACAGTTATCTTTCCAATAATACCATTGTATATTCTGAATTTTGACACCTACTGTGATAATTTTTAACAAGAGGTCATGAAAACAAAAAAGAATTAAGTGTGTGTCTTAAGAAGTGGCAAGTCTATAGTATAGGCAACTAGTTTAGGCCTATACCTTTTGACACCTTTAGAATTTCATAACGTACGTGATATGACTTAATAAAATAAACCTTGCATTCAGGAAATATGAAACATTGTAGCCTACAATTTGTTGTCCACTTCTAATTTAAATTGTCCACTTAGAATGTTAGGGTGTTTTCACACTAGGTACGGTTGTCTTGTACCGTGCCCTAGCGTGATTACATGCAGCACCTTTAAATAACTGGAATTTTAAATCAAAACAGAAACTCCTGCATTCATTTGATAAAATTTTATTTTCTATGAAAAACCAATCAAGAGCATTAAGGCTGATGCCTGTGTGCAAACAGGTGGTGAAGTCATTGACAGCTACAACCACAGTCACAGGACATGTAGGTTCTTTAATTACAGTAATTCTGCAGCTCAAAGATGCTGCAGGGTTTGTGGCAGCACTGCTCCACAATGCCTCTCTTCCTTATCAGCTCGGCATGATCTTTAAATGCAAAGTCAGCCACCTCAGTTTCCTGGGCAGATTTAGGAGGAAGGAAACCTGGGGGAAAATACAACAATAGGGAAAAACTTGACATTAGTCTAGCCTAATATTAGTGTACAACTGAGCCAATTCTTATTTGGAAGTTGATTCTTTGTAGTTCGCCATTCATTTGGATAAAGAAAAATTCAGACAATTAGATCAAACCTTTATTCATTGACACTGGGGTTAAAATAATTCTGAATTACCGCTATAATATATGCCTAGCCTTGATGAGATACTGTGATGCCTATTTTACACACTCAAGTTGTTTTACACATTATACATATTTTATGCTTCACTACCATTTAAAAGTTTAGGGTCAGTTTTTGTTTAAGAAATGAATACTTTTATTCAGCAGCATGTATGCATGTAATTGATAAAAAAAAGACAGTAAAAACTATAATGTTACAAAGAATTCTGATAATAATTCATGTTTTTTTAGCAGCAAATCAGCATATCAGCATATTAGAGTGATTTCGGAAGGATCGTGTGACACTGAAGAAAAATTCAGCTTTGCCATCACAGGAATAAATTACATTTTATATATAATAAAATAGAAAACAGTTATTTTAATGTGATAATATTTCACAATAATATTATTTTTACTGTATTTTTGATCAAATAAATTCAGCCTTCTTTCAAATACATAAAAAAAATCTTTCCAACCCCAACATTTTGAACAGTAGTGTACATTTCATTATTTGTCTTCCAGTCTTTCACAGTGATCATTACTTTAGACATCACCCTCTGATATGGGGTACAATTCATTTTCAGGTTCTCCGTCACCTTTCTGCAGCTCATTTAATTAAATAGCTTACATTATTATTATGAAAACCAGCTTTAATCAGTATTATTTCTCTGTCTTATTCATGCTATTTCAAAGGTGCATAATAGACTATGGGCATGATATACACTAATTCGGAGAGGGCTGACAAGGAACCCGCAGACAAACCCATGTAGAGCCTATACATCTCGTGCCTACATTGGCCCCACCGTGCAATGTTGGCTGAGGTACACTTACAAAATTAAATACATTACTTACAGTATAGGTCGAATATCTTTGCAGTATCCAGAGTATTATTACTTTCTTATCATTTTATCATTCTTATCCAGAGTAGTGAACAGCACTACTTTTCAAAGCTCCTTTACAAGAAACATAGTCTTTCTTACCCAGAAGAGGGTCAACATCTCTCTTGGGGTTGTAGAAAAAGCCTGTTGGACCACAGACCAGGTAGAGGGCATCGACCAGATGAGATCCACACAGGTGCTGCGGCGCCCCTGCGTTAGCGTTCCCACTGGAGACGGCCAACAGGAACAACAGAGCACCAGCCTGGAGCCACACTGCCATGGTCACGCTGACAGAAAAACAGATATATGCTCTTTAACTGATAAAACAAACGTACATCTACATGCACAAAGTTGCATCAACAATACACCAGTTACAATAGCATTTTCTGTTGATTTACCATCCTGCTGGTCACTTACCTGTACTTGAAGCAGAGGACAAGGAATGGTAGAGATGGTAGAGGAGAGATTGCTTGGGACAAACAGCGTGTTCTTCTCACTTTTATACATGCGTTTAGACAGGTTATGCAGTCTTTGCCTGAATCAGCAGAAAACTAATCCTGTGCGCAAACACACTTTAACACTTTTAAGGGACTGTCCAATTACACATGCCACATTAGCTGTGTTTGCCCAACCAATTCACATGCACTCCTGAGTGATATTACGCTCATGGAAGACAAACACATTCTGGTGCTCACGCAGGTCTAGTAGCCTGTGTTGTCAATCTCAAGTGGGTATTGGTTAATTGTTAATAAGTGTTGGAGACAGAAGTTTACACAGAATGGCCTGATCATGGATCTGCTAAGGTGACAGATGGTGCTTTTCTGTGTAAAGATCATTTGAGTGAAACAGCAGAATATCTCTAGGTATCTCATTCTCGAGAAAATGGGATCAGATGTCTCATTAGTCATTAGTAATGTTTATGACATCCTCACTGACACGTTTTTTAGCAATGAAGATGTGTGAAGATTTTATAGCAAACCACCACAAACGTTCATAATGTTAAAAGACATTCCACACAGGTTAAAAATTGTAGATAGCATTTTCAGCCACAAAATGTATGTGGAAAAATCTACTATTATTTAGCAAAAACAGCTTTTTATGAGACTCCATCTACAGTACATGTGATGTGTCTGCCTTTTTCCCCCATAAAATTGCCACATTTTTAGAATATATTGTAGTATTTTTATCATATTTAGCATTAAATGAGAAAGTGAAGCTACTAAGCTAGTTTAGTGTTAGTATGACATTAGTGCTGTACTTCATGACTTTTGGCCCTTTTTAAGGTTATCTTATAATAAAGCTGTTTTTATAGTAGTGATTGTCATCATGTAGTGAACGTGCCAAAGCTAAATGGATTCAAGCTAACAGAGAGGAAAATACAGTTTATGGGGGTGCTTTTTATTTTACATTACAAGTATGTATTCTACAACACGTTTCTGCAGTCCACTAAAAATCACCTTCTTAAGGTCATGGCTATAAGCAAACACCAACGGTCATTTAAAGAGATTTATTTATTTATTTACAACAACTTTTTTTGACAATGTTTGAAGTGCTCACCTCTGAAAACATACAAAAAAATGCAATTTTAACATATCTGAAGGATTTAAGGTAAGAAGGCATGAAAACAATTACAATAAGAGCTACAAAATAACTGAAACACATCTGCACAATATATAAAACAGTCCATATCAAATAAATGTATAAAACAGCAAAATATTTAAAATAGTGAAATATAATTTATATTACATATATCATACATTATAGTTTGTTTATTTGATTATTGCTTTTACGTAGGCAGTGGGTTATTCCATGGCGAGTTATTACCTCTTGAAATAAAGGTGTTAAGTCCATCTCCCTAAATTAAACAGCCAAACCCTTGGTTAGCACGCATCATAAGACATCATTTATATATTAAATGAATACATCACTTCTAGCTTAACCCTGTTTTTATGAGGTTGCCTCAGGGGAAACAAACCCATTTTCTTCACTTTGCAAGAACATGATTCATGTTAGATAGATAGTAATAAAATGGTTTTAATAACGAGATGGCTTTGATGGATATTTAGTCAAAATTAGTATTTTTTTAAATGTATGATGCACAGATTTGCATGTTTGAGTAAACTTCACTTTGAAACATTCAAAGTTATATACATAGATTATTTGTATGAAAGGAGGAATTGCTTAAATGTGTTTGATACCAAGAAGCAACATTGGCAGAGGTTAGTTGTTAGTATTTTGACATCAGTAACATCTTATTTATTCATTTCGATTAATTAGTTAATTGTTGCCTACAAAGGACACCCGAGAATATATGTTGTAACATTTCTTTCACAATGCATTCAAATGTTAAGCAACATTTCATCAACTTAATAAATATTAACTTGATGAAGTAATAAAAAACATTCATCTAATTTCTGTTCATGTCAAGCATAGAAAACATGCAGCTCAGTTTTGCAGTTAGTAAATGATCTCAGTGTAATATTCAAGCATTATATAATCTTACCTTCACATTCAATTTACATGTAAACTCATTTTTTTGCATTATATAATCTTACCTTCACATTCAATTTACATGTAAACTCATTTTTTTGCAATGTGATTTGACTGACTTTAACAGTTTATGTCAGAAGTACAGCTTTTGAAAACGGATTTACCTGATGATTATAGATGCTTACATACATGTACACTATTAGTGTAATATGTTAGACCACCCTGTGTCTTACATCTTTCACACAGCTGCAGCTTACTCCATCATCCAGCAAAACAGAAGAGACATCTAGAGACAAAAAACACATTCATAAGAGCTGCTTTAGCAACAGTTGGTGTTTTACTTGAGTGCTTTATCTTTTTCTACTTTCCGACAAAGAGAACATAACATGGATAGTGTTCATTCTCTTCATATCAGAAATATGTCACATTCAATCTCATAATCAAGCTTTTGTTCAAAGCTGTATTTCAGTGGATTCACATTTATTTCTTTTAATAAACCAATCATATCATCAATAAATTATACAAAATGCCAGAGAAAACACAACACATTATTTTCTAGCGGTTCATGGTGTGTTGCTTTGTGATGAATCTACAGAATTGTGAGTTAATAAACAAACTGTGAATCATCAGTGGAGGAGTTGGCCATTTATTAAAACTAGGATGTTACAGCAGGTAACTGTGACTTAAGTTACACTGTGTGTCATCCTGATGTCACACTCACCCTTTATATCAGAGATTTCTTTCTCTGCATTTCCATTGACAGTTTGGGCTTGTTTTCTGTCCACCATGTCAGTCCTCACTTGTCCTAGAGTCCTGAGGAGACACATGGTGTCAAACGGGGCTTCCCCTCCGTCCGACAGCAGCTCTAAAACCTGTGTACACACATAACAAACAAATGTATTAGTCTTCACTCACTGACACCAGCATCCAGATCTGAGAATGAGATATTAGTGCATTTTCACCAGACATAACACTGTCAAAGAAATAAAATTCAAATGCACAAACCTGCAAACATTTGTAGCTCTTAAGCTCACTCAAGTTTTCCTCCAAGAACAGCAGGTAGATGCTGAGGTCATCATAGCGCCGGGTAGTAGGCTGCAAATCCAGCACGTGTCCGAAAGCAGGCAGTAGGTGGTATGGACGGAGGAACTGAGCGCGCTGGTGCTGGCGAGCAGGTTGGAAGGCAGCGTAAACCACAGCCGGCACTAACAGTAAATACACCACCAGATTCATGCAACTTAGGAGACGAAAAACACCCACTGCCACCAGCTTACACTGAACTGCATCTGGCACCACACTCTCGTTAACTAAAATACCTGGAGACACACACACACACACAAACACAATTCAGAGAACAAACATCATAAAATGATTAGACACACACCAATCACTCTCATATTTTTATATTCATTCTTGAAGTGTATCACGTCACGTGTGTGGAAATTTACACAAGCACACTATCTAGCACACACCTCTGCGCAGGTTACAGGAGAATTGATCACTGGGTGAAACCCAAAGGATGTAGTAGGTCAGATAAGAGCAGGCCAGCAGTAAAGTGAGGAATGTTAAAACCCGACAAAGTAGATATTTTGCAGCCAAAGCCCATGATAAGCGTTTTGTCTTCAAGTACTGCTCTACCAGAGGGTACTTAAAACAAGCTTCAGTCAGTTCCAGACCACTGAGAGTGAGTGAGAAAGAGAGAGAGAGGAGAGAAAGAGATTTTAAGATTAAGGTTAAGATCAGTAGAATCAGAATAGGCTATTATGGATTTATAGTTTTGGGATATGATTGATTGAGGGGGGGAAAGGAAATAGAAAGGAAGTTTAAATAGCAAAGATGTCAGTTGTTCACAAGCATTAAGAAATTAACTAAAATAATAAAAGGTAAGATGATTAGTGAATTTAATTGATGCCTCAAAAGACTTTTTGTCAGTGATTTTTAAAATACACTACCGTTAAAAGTATGGGGTCAGTATGATTTTTGAAAGAAATGAAAAAATAATAATACTTTTAATAAGTAAGGATGCATTAAATTGATGAAAGATTTCTATTTCAAATAAATGCTGTTCTTTTGAAATGTTCTACTTCCTACAACAAAAAAAGATTCCCCCTGAGGGTCCCTGCAATTTTTAGACTTCCGATGCCACCGATGTTTTTGGAGCACTAAATCAGCATATTAGAATGATTTCTGAAGGACCATGTGACACTTAACACTGGAGAATCATGATCAGATGAAATCTCTAAATTACCCAAGTTGACAGAATGTGTTAAAGATATAAAATATTGGTTGACCTGTAATTGTCTTCTATTAAATTCAGATAAGACTGAGGTATTACTTACTGGACCAAAAACCTGTACACAGAATCTCTTAGAATACAAGTTGCATTTAGAAAGATGTACTGTTACTTCATCCTCTACAGTAAAAGACCTGGGTGTTATATTAGACGAGAAATATATTTCATATGTTACAAAAATATATTTCATATATTTCATATGTTACAAAAACAGCCTTCCACCTCAGAAACATCGCTAAGCTACGGAACATGCTATCTGTTTCTGATGCAGAAAAGTTAGTTTCATGCATTCATGACCTCTAGACTGGATTACTGTAGTGCATTGGGTGATTGTCCTTCATCCTCAATAAACAAGATACAGTTAGTCCAAAATGCAGCTGCTAAGAGTTAAAATTTGATCATATAACCCCAATTTTATCATCTCTACACTGGTTACCTTTAAAATTTCGTATCGATTACAAAGTATTGCTACTGACCCTAAATGGTTTAGCTCCTGTGTATTTAACCAAACTTCTATCGCCCTACAATCCTTTACATTCTTTAAGGTCACAAAACTCTGGACTTTTGGTGGTACCTAGAACATCTAAGTCCACTAAAGGAGAGGGCAGAGGGGGGGTTTTGCATTTGGCTCCTAAACTCTGGAATAGACTTCCTGATGATGTTCAGGGCTCAGGCACACTCTCCCAGTTTAAATCTAGACTAAAGACGCATCTCTTTAGCCAAACATTCACATAATGCGTAACCTTGTACTCCAGTTATATCATATCAAATGCACATGATTATCTACTTAATGTTATATGAACAGCAGCTACGCTAATTATTTTCCATTTGCTTTTCTGTTTTATCTCAGGATGCAAATCTCAAGGTAACTAGAGAGTACATTAGATCCAGTTAGGATCCAGCCTCATATGAAGATTTCAGATGCCCCAACACCTGTGAACAGATGACGGCAACACCTGCGAGGACTTGAGATGACGCCAACTCTGAATCAACATGCACCAATGCCAAACCTCTATTGAAATCACAACTTGTAATAATTCCTTCAATGAGCTCACTGTCTCTGCCTAAAATGAATACATATTAACTAACTGCATGATTTGTATATGTACATTTCTGAAACACAATACTTGGACACGGTCACCTCTGATAACAGATCCCTCTAAATTGTAATGTAGACGGATGAATTTTCTGTAAAGCTGCTTTGAAACGATGTGTATTGTGAAAAGCGCTATGCAAACAAATGAGAATTGAATTGAATTGAGAAATGGCTGCTGAAAACTCATCTTTGCCATCACATGAATAAATGACATTTTAAAATATATTCAAATACAAGTCTTTGTTTTTTGAATGTGCACTTGTACAGTGTTGATAATGAATTAGGCCGTTTTAGAGGCAGCTCTCAGATACCAACCCTGGGAGAATCAAAAACTGTATTTGTCACAACTGGAAATTTAAACTTAATAGCTGGAGTTTTGACAATGTTCACAGCACTACACCTGTGTGGGTCTTCTGCAATGTCTTTGTCTTGTTTGATTGTGAGGCTCTTGGCCAGGCGGATGGCACGGTTGTAGCAACGGTCAAGTTCCTCCATGATAAAACTGAGATCAGAGGATAGGGAAGGGGTAGCCGTGAAACGCCAGAAGAGAGCAGGAATATACAGGAGGACGGCGACCAGCAGAAGGATATAAGGGAAGAACTGAAGGTAAAGAGACAGAGTATAAGACAAACACAAGCAACAAGGGACCTCTTTTGATACGACATTGTTGCTCACGTCATGACCAAGTACATTGAATGTGAAGTAGACCTACACTACCTTGTGTAGATGAAGGGGGGCGCTATCAGCCCCATTGTCTGTAGGGTGATGCTCCACTGCGGCCCAGCAAAAGGAGTCCACATACGCAGCCTGTCTCAATGTGAAGTTAGTGGGTGGAAAACATGTGATCTGAGTACCTAGAGGAATTACACAAGACCATGTCATTTTCTTACCTGAAGAGACTGAAAGAGCTATATGATGGAAATTTGATTAATCTTATCTAAAAGAAATCCTCAAATATGCTACTTACAGTGTTTTTGCATCTTTGTTATGAGCAAACAATATTTCTGATTAAACTTTGTATTTAAGTAAGTGCATTATGTTGGCCTGCTTTGTGATAATTGTATCTATGTATAAATCTCTTTCAAAACAACCAACTTATGTTCATCACCATAGGAGCAGTAGAAGAGACCAGGAACAATTGCTTCCTTCATAACTTACAGATTACTAATGTACATAATGTTTCTTAATGTCTGTGAAGTACTTCCAAATGCAACGGTACCATCAACATTTTGGAGTGATTCTTAAAGAGATAGTTCACCCAACAAAGAAAATTATGTCATCAGAACACAAAAGATGATATTTTGAATAATGTTGGTAACCAAACAATATTGGAGGCCACTGACTTCCGTTGTATGGAGAGAGAGAGAGAGAGAGAGAGAGAGAGAGAGAGAGAGAGAGAGAGAGAGAGAGAGAGAGAGAGAGAGAGAGAGAGAGAGAGAGAGAGAGAGAGAGAGAGAGAGAGAGAGAGAGAGAAAAAAAGGGGGAAACATTTCAATACATCTTTTGCGTTCCACAGAAGAAATAAAGTCAGTTTTGGAATCTCATGAGAATGAGAGCACATGTTGACAATTTTAATTTTTTTGCAAACTATCCCTTTGACAAGTCAAAGTATTACAATCATCCTCATTGTGGCGATTATACCACATGGAATATAAATTATATCCACTGCATATCAAAAAAAGAGCACAGCTTTTTACATCAAAAGTCTAGAGTAAAGTCTGGAACTACTGATGGAATAACGATTGGTTTTAATTTAGAATATTTTATTTTTATTTTCAGTAATAGTGTAACGATAGACCTTACAATGACAACAATGAAATCTTGTATGGCTGCAAGTGTTGCAACAACCAAGAGATAAAATAGATCAAACAGATATTAGGGTAACACTTTACAATAAGGTTCCATTAGTTAACATTAGTTAATGCAGTAGTTAACATGAACTAACCATGAACAACACCTCTGTTCAGCATTAGTTAATATTTGTTAACGTTAACTCACACATGTACTAATGCATTAATTCACATTAACAGCACGGTTAGTTAACATTAGTTAATGCATTAGTTAACATGAACTAACCATGAACAATGCCTGTAAATAGCTTTACTGTTTTGTAAGGTTAACTTACTGTACATATTTACATTAGTTTACGTAGCAGTTGACACACACTAAGTATGAACATTTCTAACTCACCATGTTACCCTAAATGTAAAAATACTGTTGTGTACCTTATCAACACTCTTTCATAAGGCATTGATTTGTTGGTAAACATAATTCTACAGCGGAAAACAAATGTTAGTAACACATCAGTTAATGTTGAATAAGTGTACACTTTACAATAAGGTTAATAAATTCCATTAATAAATGCTTTATTAATGGAAAGTCATGTTAATAAAGAGTCTAGATGTTAGTAACACATCAGTTAATGTTGAATAGTGTACACTTTACAATAAGGTTTATAAATTCCATTAATAAATGCTTCATTAATGGTAATTAATGTTAATAAAGAGTCTACGAATGTTAGTAACACATCAGTCAATGTTGAAATAGTGTACACTTTTCACTCAATCCAATAATAAATACTTATTTGAATACAAGTAATGATAGTAAAGTGCGTATAAACATGAACAACATATTTTTCCGCTGCAGAATTATGTTTACCAACAAATCAATGCCTTATAAAAGAGTGTTGATAAGGTACACAACAGTATTTTTACATTTAGGGTAACATGGTGAGTTAGAAATGTTCATACTTAGTGTGTGTCAACTGCTACGTAAACTAAGTTAACCTTACAAAACAGTAAAGCTATTTACAGGCATTGTTCATGGTTAGTTCATGTTAACTAATGCATTAACTAATGTTAACTAACCGGGCTGTTAACGTGAATTGATGCATTAGTATATGTGTGAGTTAACGTTAACAAATATTAACTAATGCTGTACAGAGATGTTGTTCATGGTTAGTTCATGTTAACTAATGCATATGGAACCTTATTGTAAAGTGTTACCTAAATGGGTTTGATTGCTAGAGTTTGTCTTAGCAGAATAGTCTGGTTTGGTTGTGATTGTGTGATTGATGCTAGCCTACTTCTGCCCCCGCCTCTCTTTTACTGAGACAGATAACACGCCCTCGATAGCAGTGGCTAAAATAAGAAAATAAACAACGGTCACAATGTGAGTGGCACGACTGGCCGGCCCCAATAATTATTTAAAACTAATTAAGTGCATTTACACTGCAAAATACGATGTTAACAGTTTGCAGCATGCTTATAAATCGCTATTCATCTCATGTTTTTTTAACGCGCATATCTGACGCGCCCATTCTGGATTTACACACAAAACCGCAATGATGGTCTTTGTTCAAGTAACGTAATCGACAATAAGTTGTGTAAAAAATACGTCCTTCGTTGTTTTTGGAGAATGTTTAATAATATTCTGTTACAGCCTAAAGTTATTCTCGATTTAGCCAGTCTTTCAACAATTGGCAGCCTTTTGGTACAAATCCGTTAAAAGGTATTAAGGCTTCATGTTTTTGAGTTTGAACCTGTTTATCTCCATAAGTTCAAACCACTCTATCTTTATCGGACGTTTCAAAGTAAACCTTGTTGACGTTTTACGCAAATCCCGGTAGCTGTGATAAAATGTTTTTACTGACCCACAGAGACTTCTTGCGCAAAGGCGAGTGAGATGAGTAACAAAGGAAGCCCAACCGCGACAAAACTGACCAGTTTGTCTGTGGCCAGTTCCAGCCGCACGCCTTTATACTTAGATTCACTCTGTTCTTTCAATAAAAAATCAGAAAACACATATTCAGTCGCAACGCGCGCTATAGCCATTGTTAAGATGAAATTAAGGCTTTGTCAAGTGCACCGCTAGTTCCGGTGGGCAGGGTTACGCGCACGGTTCACCGACCAATAACAACAACACCAGAGGGAATCAGAAACTGGATTTAGTCAGTCGTCCTACTAGAATTATTCAATCTTCTGTAAGATTAAAAAGCGCATTACACACTTTGACATAAATACCCTCTATTATAGTTAGGCTACTTATTTTATGAAACAAAGAAAAACGACCTTATGAAAACTAGTCAAATAAAGGTAGCAATAAAGTAAGAGGGATTGTAGGCTATTTGTCTAGTAGTAAACAAAGATAATAATAATGAGGAAACCTTGAGAATATTACAATATTTTGATTATACAGTTATTGTGGTTCAATTCAAATGAGCTCTATTGACAAATTGTACATTGTATTGCCAAAGCATTTATATAAACAGGGAAAATAAAAATGAACAAAGGAGAATTAATTGTATGATGAACAAGATAATTTTAACCTATTAAAATATTTACCAACTAATATATGTACACACGTACGCCTATTTGTTTGAGGGGGAAAACGATATTTGAAGAAACATAGTGCAAATGCTTGCTAGTTCTGTTTAATTTGTTATGCAAGCTGCAACTGTTTTCTTTTGCCAAGAGGCCCCCATTTTCACCCAAAACCACTGCATGTAAATGGCTAAATGGGCAAAGACCTTATTGGCCTTATTATTTGATAAAACTGCATGGAAATTGTTTGTTTGGTTATGCAGTTATTTAGAAAATCCTGTTTAAAATTAATAGAAAAATAATGTCCTTGTCATGGGGACATTACTTTAATAGAAATTTAGACTGTAGGTGTAAAGAATGTCACAATCTAATGCATTATTATTATTAAACATTACCATACCTTCAAAAATATGCAATTACATTAAGCACACCAAAAAAGCAAACAAATCAAATAGCCTTTGTTTATTCATTTCATGAATTTAAGAACTGTACAATGGCTAAAAACAATTGTCAACACTCAATCTACTCTGTCAGGTAATCAATTAGTTCACATTTACAATTTAGCAATTTTTTTAATGCAGAAAATGCAGACAAAACATGTAAAAAAAACAAAAAAAACCACCCTGATTTACTCAAACATTGACTCTGTCTGACAGCCTTTGTCCATCCAGATTTAGAAACAGTTTTTGAAAGACCTCGAACTGCAGGTTGGATGGGTACCTCAAATCAAGAGCATAAATGATGCCCATAAGCAAAGTGATGGCACACACAACAGTCTGAATTTCCTAGAGTACCTCAGCTCCTTCAATTACAATTAACACTTTTGGTGGTTGTTGTGCACCTTCTGGATGGACCACACAGATCCCAAGGATCATTTTGATTTCTCAGCCTGGTCACAGTCCTTGAAGTTAGAAAAAAGCACAAGAAACAAACATTGTGTGTGGTTAAAACAACAAAACATCCCACTAAACTTGCATTACAAACAGAAACACAGAATTCGTTTTTTTTTTTTTCAGGGGCAAGATTTAAGAAGTACAAAACATAACACTTTGTGAAGGCAGCTGAATCCATCACAGGTTTTCATACCCTGGGTCGCGAGACTTAAAAAAAAAAAGGGTCGCCATGATGATTTCAGTGGGCATTTGATGTCAATTTAACATCAATATGACATCAAACATTGATGTCAAAATTACGTCATGAAATAGGTCAAAAATGAAAGTCAAATTGACGTCAAAGTGACAATGTGAATTTGATGTCACGATTTTGACCTCTGCTGATGTCATTTTGATGTCATGCTTTGTTGGCATTTGATGTCAATTCAACATTTATTTGACGTCAAGATGTCATGATGTTGATGTCATTTTAATGCTATTTTGATATCATTCAATATCAAGCTTCGATATCAATTCAACATAAATGTGACATCAAACATTGATGTCAAAATTAAATTACATCAATTTATTGACATATTTTGATATCATTTCAATGCCAAGCATCACTCAATTTCAACCTAAATGTACATTGACTGACAATATACACATACTTTGAGATCTGATATGTTTTTTGGGTTGTTGTTTTTTTGAGCAGTGTAATACAGTGGGGGTGCTATGGATTCACACTTCCAGGGCTCTCAAGTGCCCGTAAAAGGGAACAAGAAAGCAAACATTAAAATGGGCCCTGGCCATTAACATAACTAACGCTTAGTACCCATCAGTAGTAGGCTACTCTACAGTATATAGACAACTAAAAGATAATCCACATTATAGCCTAATCACATGCAGTAGTCAGAGGTGCAGATGTGTACTAATATATGATAATGGATCGAGTCAAACCTTTTGTTAATATCTGTTAATAGTGTCATATGTCAGGATCTCATTTCACTGCTAGTAATCAGTCCACATTTTGTACTGAATTGTAGAATGTGAACATTCATTCAAAGAATCCCATCCCCACACCCCATCCCTCGGGTGCTTCGTACCCCCAGTCTGACAGGCGGGTCTATGACCAGCGCCTGAAATGGCTGCAGGACCGCCTCTGCTGGGCTACATCCATCCCCCACCCCTGTTGCAAGTCTTGTTCATGTAGAGTGTACTGATTGTGTGCTAATGTTGCTGAGGTGGTTTTTTTCCTGTTCCCACACTGTACTCCTTACACAAGCATAGTCTGTATTTTCCTCTTGAAATTTCTCACTTGTGAGACAAATAAAGGTATTATCTAATCTAATCTAATCTAAAGCCAGAGAGCAGTGATTTCAAAACATCACATTCGTCCGGGCTCTTCCCTATAGGCTATTGGTGTCTCATTTCCATGGGGAATATTTTTACCCCTATGTCTTGCCACTATGTTTCGAAGGACACGGTGTAGGGGTAAAATGAAGGGGAAGGATAAAAACAGAGAAATGGGATTGGGCCTAAATCTACATTGTTTGCAGCAGCTCCTACCTTCCGGCGCCCAGTGCCCCCTACTCTGTCCGGTGCAGCGCGCAAATGGTTGGCCATCAGGCTACCAAAGGGAGCTTCTGTGATGCGGGGTTGTGACTTGGATGGCACCTGAAAAATGTAACAGCAATTGCCATTTATCTTGCACATACTGATCAAAATAAAAATCATGTAGAGAATAGAGCTATAAGTGATGTATAGCTCCATACTCCATCCCCCCCCCCTCCATATAGTCCCAAATCAATCTCTGCCTAGGAAATCACCAAGTCTTAATCTACATTGCTATTTGTACTCGTTGTGAATAAGCAGGCCAAAAGAAGTAATTATTTTTATTTTTTTTTATCACTTTTACTCACGACCTGGCAACGTATGATTCCATTCATTATGCTAAGCTAAGCTAGACAACTAAGACAATGCATGCACTGAGACAAAAATGCATTTGCCCACCTATCCAAATGTAGGGGAGACAGTGAATAACCCCAATTTAAAAAAAAACGGTGGAGTGTTCCTTTAAGCGTTTTTCACGTTAAGCGTTTTGGAATATCCCCTTTGTACAGCAGGCGCCGATGGCCGAAACAAAGTGCACAATTCAGATTCAGATTCTGACTGCAGTTGAGCCGAAGGCAACACATTCGATTCAACTGAATTAGCAATAGGCTTTATGCACAGCTTCACTACTTCCTGAACTTCAACCAGCCCTTTGTTTCCTGTCTGTCATTATTGGACAAACTGATTAATCCAGGTGTGCCTGATTATTGTTACAGAGGCCAGGCACACCTGGATTAATCAGTTTGTCCAATAATGACAGACAGGAAACAAAGGGCTGGCTGAAGTTCAGGAAGTAGTGAAGCTGTGCATAAAGCCAATTGATCTTATAATAGTGGGCGAAGCAAGCACATTTCTCAAAATGCTAATTGCTTCAGTTATAGCACGATCCCTCTCCATGATTGCAAATGCGGTAAATAGGCAGGTTACTTCCGTGTACGCACAAATGACTTCCTTTTACACTGAAATGCCTTCCGTTTGCACTGAAAAGTTCACGCACATCCACATATGAAATCACTCGCATATACATACTCAACTAAAGCATGCATTCACATTTTATTTTGTATGTTTGCATTTTTTGCAGTGTTTTATGGATGTGTATGGCGCATCGGGTTTATATGTATGTGCGAGTGTTTATAGGTGTATATGCATGGAAGTTTATATGTATATGCGAGTGTTTATAGGTGTGTATGCGTGCAGCGAGTGTATATGTATGTGCTAGTGTTTATAGGTGTATATGCATGGAAGTTTATATGTAGCCTGTATGCGAGTATTTATAGGTGTATGCGTGCGTCAAGTTTATTCACAAGTGTATATGCATTCATTACTAACATAATATGTATTGGTATGGATTTCATATTAGTGTGCACGTGTATTTCATATATGTATTTTGAACATCCAATATGTATGTATATGCGAGTAATTTATAGGTGTATATGCACGTGTGTTATGTGTGTATTGATAAGCGAAGTTTGATTTAAATCCCACGTGGCACTTCATAATATTACATCATATTCTGTACAATATTTTTTTATTATTGCATTTTTAATAACACATTGTAAAAAATTCAATGCAGCAGCTATTTTTGTTTAGAACACACTTACTTTTCTCTGCCATTGGGAAAGAAATATGTAAAATGTCATGGGACAGTATATGGATGGCTGCCATTGCAACCATAGACAGTAAAAGAAAGATTGCAACTTAGATCTTATTCAAATCTGTGACAGCTTCCGGTGCTGTGCTGGGACTGTAACGGTCACCAGCTGGAGTGCCCTTGAGAGCCACCAGAGGGCACTCCACACAGACTATTATCACTCCCTCACAAACTACATTTCCCATAACTCACTGCCCGGACTCATCATCACTGACTGCATTCACCTGTGTCTCATTACCCTGTTAGTCTCAGCCTATTTCAACCTTGTTCACTCATTCACTTACTGCGAAGTTTTGTATGTTGTTGCACTGCATTTCCGAGCGGTTTCCCTGGTTTTATGCCTCTTGGTTTTTGGATTTCTTGCCTGTTCCTTGGATTACTCTTTTGTCTCTGACCCCTGCCAGTTTTGTTTGTTTGTTTGGACTGCCAACCTGTGTTTTG